CTCTATGACAACCAACCTGCATATTCTGTATGTCCCCTGGTGAGAGCATCTTAAATATTGCTAAAATACTGCTTGACTTCTGTTTAACCTCCAGCGATTCTGTCATATCACCATTCTGCTCTGGTCTTTACACTGTCTGTCTGTCCCATCATGTCATATGATGTGCTTCTTGGATTTTTGTTTCTTCCATTAGACATCTTGAATTGTCGGATAATTGAGGGTATTGTTTTGCTTCATCCGTTCAGACCCTGTATGGTACAGAGCAACAGACTAGCCAGCAGGCCGAACTGAATTAGACAGAGAGGTAGTGTCTGGCATACTCAAACACCGTGACACAATGAACTGAGCAGTTCACCTTCTCAACAAACAACACAACCAAACAATGAATCCTCTGCATTATCAGCCTGCAACTATTTTCCTTAATGTGTGTCAATTTATAGCAGTTTATAAATGTGATGAGCAAAGAACTTTTGCTTTTCTTTCACTCCAACAATGTCAACACACTGTCAAGAAGTTACATGGCATGATAAACCAATCCAGAAAATGCATTGCTATTTTTACTGGACAAATGACGCATCTAAATGTGGACAGTGTGGTAATAACATGTAACAGTATATTTACACGTATCAATGTAAAGATAAAAACTCAGCAAAAAAAAGTACATTCAGCACATTCAACTGCTTTTACTTGTAGCAAATTTCTTAATGTGTAAATATTTGTATTCACATAAAAAGATCAACTGAGACATAAACTGAACACGTTTCACAGGCATCTGATGAACAGTAATGGAATAATGAGTCCCTGAACACTATCAAAAGTCACAGTTGGTATTGTGTGTGTCCACCAGCTGCTTTCAGAAGTGCAACTCGTCTTCATGTTCTACATCAGGTTTGCCAGTTCTTGCTGTGAGATGTTACTCTACTCTTCCACCATAAGCCATCTGCAAGTTTTCAAACACATCTGGGGCGACGCATGGTTACATGTGGTTTGCCACTGCAAGGACAATCAGCTGTCCTTCCTGTCTCCCTGTAGCACTCTTATAGGCATCTTACATTACAGACATTGCAGTTTATTCATCTGGACACATCTGCAGTCCGCAGGACTATGGCATGTTCACACAGGTGATCAGGAACCCTGGGCATCTTTCTTCTGGTGTTTTTCAGAGTCTGTAGAAAGGTCTCTTTACTGTCCTAAGTTATTGTAACTATATTACATACTGCCTGTAAACCGTTAGTCTCTTAAGGAATGTTCCACAGGTGCATGTGCAATAATTGTTTATGGTTCATTGAACAAGCATGAAAAACATCCATTAATGTTTTATACCCTATCCAAATAAAAAGCTTATTTGTATTTTACAAATGTAATGATTTTGCTTTTGCTAACCTAGGGAGGCGAAATGTAGTAATGAGTACTCACGCCACCGATGACGTTATGATTTTTGGATCAGATAAGAAAGATTGGTGGGATATCTAACTTGTAGAATCTCTTACTGTATTATCAACACAAGGAAGACATAAGTGTAATAAAATACATTGTAAAGATAGACAAGAGTTATCAACAACTACTAAACGAATACCATAAATGAAAAATGAATAAAGTGCAATAAGATGCAATAAGATGCATAAAATTCAAGTGATTCAGTTGGGTGTTGCTGTGGCAGAGTTAAGTTTTCTTACGAAAAGATAAACTGAAAGTAATAAGGTGAATAACCTTATTATGCCTCAAACAAATAAATAAAAGATTATTTGTTCTTAAAGCTGCAGTCCGTAAGTTTTGCCTCTTTGTCGCCATCTCTGTTTGAAAACCTGGAATTGCAGCTGTGTGCGGAATTATCTAGCTTGCGTGGGTTGTGAGTCGGCACGGCTCCAGCACGGATGAATCTAATGTTCTGAAGAGTATGTGTGGCAGTCAGTCATCGCACCGGTGTGGATATACTGGTTGTGCTGGTAACAATGCAGTGGGGAAAGGAGCAGGAATCCTTTTCAACAGCTTTGAACACGAAGCGCTGTAAGATGCTGATCTCCTGGAGCACCAAAGGGTCCTAAGATCTGGAATGCAGACGAGGCCTGGAGTAGGTGCAGAAGGTGCTTAAACTGGAACACGCACACAAACGTACCTTGAAGTGAAGGTTTGCTTGCCGGAGCTTAACCTTGTTGCAAATGTCTGGACTGTATGTCTTCTGCCTCTCTGGGCTAGAGACTCAGAAGTTGATCAATCAGCGTTGTCTCTCTAGGATGGAGACTCAGGACGTGCTGCATCTGTTGCTGTCTCATTGGACGAAGACTTTCCTCAAAAGCTGGAGACTCGGGCGTGGTCTGTTGACATCTCTCCCTCACGGGCCAGAGACTCAGAACCTAAATGTATCTGTTACAGTCTTACCTTCACAGGCTGGAGACTGTATCCATTAGTGTCTCACTGGACACTTTTTTGTTTATTTTTTTCTGAGTTTATACGGTTACAATACTGGAAGATATATAGGGCCAAATGTTAGTAGATAGATGTGAGTAGACACTTAATTGTATGAAAGACATTAGATAATAGAACATACCAAACCAAGTAGTGTCTTTAAACCAATGATGCTAGAGCATTTCATAGAACTTAACACCATTTTCAGAGTTCAAAATTGGCATAAGTTTTAGTAATATTTGAAGTATGTGTCCAAAATCACCCCCTATACACTTATTCACTATCCCCTACATTATATACATCCCCACTACATCCCCACTAATATAGTGCGCTTGAAGTAGAGAATGAAAATGAAACTGTGAATTCAGAAACTAAGTGGCGAAAAAAAAACAAAAAAACAGTGGAAACCATATTCATCAGAGACATGGGACTTCTTTTAGTGTAAACCTCACATTACACAGTTCTCTAGTGGCTATGGGTGAACATCAGTTGTACACTCGTTACTGCAGTGCATTATGGGACTGAATGAGTGCACACGATAATGTCCACTATGATTTCAGACACCACTACATATGACTGTCCCCTCAAATAGTGCAGTATATAATGGGATAGGGAGCGATTTCCTTACAAGTACAGGTGTAGTTCATCACATTAATTATGGACGTGTTCCACTATGCTGACTTCCAGAAAATGTTCAAATCTGTTTTTTAATCTCCACTAAAGAGTATGTCTATCAAATTTATTTTTGTGATGTTTGTACTGTCTTTGTTTATAACAATGCCACTTTGACATTCATAAATTTTCCCCACATAAGTGCCTTTCAAAAGCCTGTAATGCAGATTTGATGCAACGTATTTGTATTTATATGTAATATTCTTAGACTAAATTTTGTTTTGGTGTGACCAGTGGTGGCGCTAGGGCTACTGCTAGGGCGGGGCTTGAAGGTGCCCCATCAGAAACTTGCTTAGCCCCGGCACAACCCCCCAAGGATTTCCTAATGATGTTCCTGTTTTTTGGTGTCACTTTCATTAACATTGAAAAATAAACATTAAAAACCTAAAAAAAGAAGTGCCTAATATGTGGCCTATAAACAATTGATATTATGGGGTGTAGGGGTCAAGCAACACAAGCAAGCAACGCGCAAACTGTGCGCAAGAGTTATGCCTGTGAACGTCAGTCAATTCACTATAGAGAAAGAGAAAGTGAAAGTAAAAAAACTGACGGAACTTTCTAACGCTGCATTAACGGCGCATATTCTCTGAGACAACGAGAGACGAAACTACTTCAACATATGCTGATAACGGTATATAGCCTAACTGTCTTAAATTATTCCCTTAATATTTCTCTTGTGGCCCGTATAGTGAAAAACATGAGAAGAAACGTATTTCGCGTTAAACAGGTTGTTTTTGAAAATCTGTGCACGAAATAAAGCTGCTCTTAATTTCATTGATGACTGCAGTGTTAATAATTATAATTATAAGCATATAATTCATTGTATAGATTAATAGACCTTTTTAAAAACATTTTCAATGAGGAGTAAGCTAATAGCTTAAACTTTAATTATGCTCACAGCGCGTCATGCAGTGGTGTGCTATGAAATTATTGCTGGGCAATAATTTCATGTAATTTAATAATAAAAGTAACCTAATAATAATAATAGGCCTAATAATAAGAAGAATGTAACAGGCCTACATTAACTGGATGCTAAATGCTAAATCCTCTTAATATTGCCAATTTTTGATGCTTTTGACTATATCTCTGGCTATCGTCGACACATGATACAACGCATCTCAGCACGGGGAGGTTATCGCGATTTTCCCGAATTTGCATGCTATCGCATGCTTAGATAGCTGAAGCTTATAGACCTTCATTACTTTCACTCAATTTAATTCGTTTTTTAGCACCCCCTCTGAACTGTTAAGCCCCTCCTTAGCACCCCCAACAAAAAAATCCTGGAGCCACCACTGGGTGTGACATGACCTGTCAAGGGGGAAAAGCAACACAATTTTGGGAATGAAAAAAGCAATTAAGCAGTGAGCTCATTGAAAACATCCTTGCATGCCCTGTGCTTGACAATCACTCCGGGTAAAGTATTTAAAGTCAGGAGGCTCCAAACCTTTCCGTATGTATTTTACTTAACGGTACAATAATAGGCCTAATAATAAGAAGAATGTAACAGGCCTACATTAACTGGATGCTAAATGCTAAATCCTCTTAATATTGCCAATTTTTGATGCTTTTGACTATATCTCTGGCTATCGTCGACACATGATACAACGCATCTCAGCACGGGGAGGTTATCGCGATTTTCCCGAATTTGCATGCTATCGCATGCTTAGATAGCTGAAGCTTATAGACCTTCATTACTTTCACTCAATTTAATTCGTTTTTTAGCACCCCCTCTGAACTGTTAAGCCCCTCCTTAGCACCCCCAACAAAAAAATCCTGGAGCCACCACTGGGTGTGACATGACCTGTCAAGGGGGAAAAGCAACACAATTTTGGGAATGAAAAAAGCAATTAAGCAGTGAGCTCATTGAAAACATCCTTGCAATATATATATTTAAACGATGGACAACAGCCAGCTAAACAAACAGAAATTAAAACATTTTTTGCTTCTTTAATTATCAGCTACATTACAGTATTCATTATTTTAAACAGTGTGTATGAATTACTACATTCCTACAGCACATACAGAGGTGACCTAGTTATTTAGTTCTAGATCTTCATGCTCAACCCAGTATATTCAGTTACACCTTGTCAACAAATGAAACCCAGTCCCACTAGTGCATGCTCACTACTGAGACAGAACTCAATGACTGGGCTTTCCAAAGGGCCAACCAACAATCAGTCCCATTCTGGATCTCCAGACCGCATGTCAAGATGAAATTTGGTTGCTCACTCCTCCTTGTTCACTGAAGTCTATAGAAAAAGACGGGAAAACTTCAGATACCTCTATTTTGGGGGGGCTTTGAAATGAGAATAAAAATGTAGATAGACTATTTCCTAACAAAGAAGGAAACATTAAACACAGTTAAAGTTAAGTAAAGCAGCTTCAAGCTGTTTTGTTAATGTTATTATATTGGACCAGTCTTTAAAATTAAAGTCATGAAGAACATTCTGGCAAACGAGGTATATGAAAGATGACAGATAATCGTGCAAGAGGTGCATAAAAAATTTTTTTTCTCCATACCTCTTGTAGAATACAAAATTTTATGAATGTTCTGCTGAGTACAGCAGACTAATCTACATGCATTTACTCATATGATTTATATATGTAAGAACAGAGATTGATTAAAACTTACCTTGTCTCCACCAACATTCATTAAGGCTTCTAATTCCTGCTTCCAACCAAGGAGCTCCACCAGCTTTTTTGCCCCACTAACTACGTCACCCAGCTCAGCCACATCATTGTGACGTTGGGACCCCCAAGCAAATGGCCCCACAAGATCTCGATTTATCAAAAGCCGTGACACTGAACCACGCACGGCACCAGCCAAGCTGGCAAAGGGTTCCACCTAACAATTCAGAAAATAAGCCTTTTTAAAAGCAGTCAACAGATAACCCAACAGTGACATCTGCTGGGGATGTTGTTCCATAACATAAGGCCTATTTTTGCAAATGACCTGCATATTATATACAGGTATATTTGGTGTAAATCTGACACAACCATTTAAAATTATTGTCTAATTATTTTACATGTTTATAATGTCCTCATATTAATTGTTGGCCAACTGCAGCACTTAAAATATACTCCCTTTTATACAAAAAAAAAAATATATATATATTTAAAACCTAGATATTAATATGTTAACTAGTTTTTTTAAATTTTATTTCTTTGATTAATCATATGGAAAATCAAATAATTATTAATTATGAAAAATTACTCATTTTAATTAAAAAATATTTAAATTTTAATCCAATATTTAAAAAAAAAACATACTATTGTCCTCCAAACAATGTTCAGTTTGAAGGCTATGAAAACAATTATAGTGAATGCATCTATGCTATACATTGTGCAAAAAGGGTTAAAATATAAACATTACATTAAAAAAACAACAACAACAACAACAACTGATTGCTTACCATTTTTAAGCAGAGGTTAAAATCGCTAAATTAAATATCCTTAAATTAAATAATAAACAAAAACACAGACTAAATGTAAAACTGGTACAAGGAACACACACATTCACTCATCTGAATATAGTAATTGTATTGCATCACATTTTAAACCTACATTTGTCCAAAAATAAATATTTTAGCACAATGTATACACTGAAAAAAAATGTTTCATTCATCCAATTAAAAAAATGTAGGGCAAGTTATTTATTTTTCAAGTTAAAAAATATAGATGTGAATCATTACCCTAAATTTTTTTAATTGGATGAATGAAATTTTTTTCAGTGTACTTTAGTCAGAATTACACTCTGTTATTCTGTTTGACACGCATGCAACCACTGGGTGTGACATGACCTGTCAAGGGGGAAAAGCAACACAATTTTGGGAATGAAAAAAGCAATTAAGCAGTGAGCTCATTGAAAACATCCTTGCATGCCCTGTGCTTGACAATCACTCCGGGTAAAGTATTTAAAGTCAGGAGGCTCCAAACCTTTCCGTATGTATTTTACTTAACGGTACTTTGATAATATTGTATTTAAAGTTATTCTTTCCAAGGAATTGAATAGTACATTTGACAAATACAATAAAAACGATGTACACTCACATAAGATAAAGACTCCACTCATATACTAGAAAAAGCTTTTATTGTTCATCAGGGTGGTTTTTCCTCATAGGGGCCACCTCACTGACCAGAATGCCACTCACTTTATCTTGGAACCACCATTAGTTACAGAATAAATTAATCATTTCACCACAGTCATATATATATATAGTGCATATCAGTGGCGAAGTTAAAAAATATAGATGTGAATCATTACCCTAAATTTTTTTAATTGGATGAATGAAATTTTTTTCAGTGTACTTTAGTCAGAATTACACTCTGTTATTCTGTTTGACACGCATGCATTGGCGCTCATTCTGTGAAATTTAACAGAGACTCACTTGCTGTCACAAGCCTAATACCCACATAAAAGGATACAACCTAAAAATTGAAGTTATGTGCTAGGAAAAAACATGTCTCAAATGCAGCACACATGGGTCTATCTGTCAAAGAACCTGACAGGGCAAGCTGTGTTAAACTATATGCTTTTGTTTAGGGTCATAACTTAGGTCATGCACTTTTCGCACAGCAGCTCACTCTCTGTCCTCCGCTATTTTCCAGATGCATTTTGTCTATAGAAATGTGTTATTATTAACTACTGTAAAGTGATTTGATTGCAGGATGTTTTCAGAGCGCAGTGCACAGATGCAATAATTTTTTAGCAATTAGTTACTGTTAACTACCCAAAGACTCAACTACGTGAGTGCAGGCCAACCAGACTTGGCCCTCAGAGACATACTGTAAAATACAGCAACTAATGGGTTTTAAATGTATTATATGGGCTTGGTCTCACACTGCATTTGTTCAGTGGGTACAAATCCAGAGCTCAGCTTTACAAAAAGCTCATTAACAGATCCAGCAGCTTTTCCTCACCTCTAGAGATGTTCCCATGACAATGAGTAAGTGTGCTATCGGGAAGTCTGTAAGGTAGGTGAAAAATTGCTGAGGGAGCTCTTCACCAAAGAATACAATGTCAGGCTTGATGATTCCTTTACAAGTAGGGCATTTGGGGATTGTTCCTTCCATGATATCATTCTGTTGGGAGACAGCCATGAGTCAGGAGCTCAACTCATTATTTCAGCCATAGCATAATCAAATCACAGCAAAAGAATATTCTGTCAGAATCAGGTTGTGACATGCTTGTTTATAGTTGGTCAGTTATGGGTTTATATGAAAAGTGCCGTTCCGGGTAAAATATTCAATATCATAGTTCAATGACACATACTTACCCGGAGTTCCTCTACCCTGTAATCTCTTCGGCAAACTGTGCATTTGGCCGTGGCAAATGTTCCATGTGCCTCCACCAACATATTTGGGGGAATGCCAGCCACTGAATTCAATGAAAGGTCGATAACATTTATAAATGATCTACACAAACTTTGATTCTGCTGGACTTTTTGATAATAATACATAACAGATTTAATTAAAATAGCCTAATTATTAAATGAATCTCGGGCCGGTTGCACCAGCTCTGCACATGTTACAACCAGTTTTCATTAAAAGGTTACAACTCTTGTACTACTGAATATTTTTGCCTTGTGCAAATAAATTAATGTGTTATTGGCTTTTTAACACAAACCTGACCTAAACAGCATGCCTCTGCTTGCATATGTTGTGCATGTCAAATAAAATAAAATCATAATAAATAAATGTCAATCCTTATGTTTACTTTTGTATCAGTATTTATTTATTGATCCTTATTCATTTCAAATGCAGTTTCTGAATGTTATTTACACATAGAAATCCCTATTTTTTATTAATGAATAAGTGGTATCATTTTTCAATGCAAACGTATTTTTACCATTAGTTATGTGAGGCAAAAGAACTTCACTCACTTCGCTCGAGTCCATCAATGTTTTGTGTGTACATCCTGAGCAGTTGTCCCTTATCATGAAGCAGGCGAATGAAGTAGTGTGTCAGATTGGGTTGGTAATTACCAGGATAAAGCTCTTTGGCAAAAGCAGAAAAAAGGGTTTGGATTGTGATGAAAGTAATTTATTTCAAATATGTCCTCAGCATAGGGCAGATTGTACTGTTGAAGGTTGTCATAAAGTCCGCTGCCAGGCGTTCTGTGGGAGAAATAAGATTTAAGAAAAGTTAAAACCATCTCAGAAGTGGATTAGGGGACAACCGCCCTTATGAGTCCTACTTTACCTGAAGTCTGGGATTCCACTGGGTGTGCCGAGGAAGTTAGTGAGGTGAGTATTTTTCAGTGGTTTTTAGGTGCATGAATCGATATAAAACATTTACACGTGGTTTAACGTTTTTACAAATGTGCTCCAGCAACATAGCAATATTACTGACGCCGTATTGTGTTAGAAATGTTAAATGGTGTGGAACAGTGGAAGTAATATTGTATTGCGTTATGTGCAGGTGCAGTTCTAATGTTTATTTTTTGAATAGCTTAAACATTAATATTATAGTAAAGGACATTCACACATAAGGGAAAAATATTTTTTTACTTTGCATTGCATTTTCAGATCATTTTAAGGTCTTTGATATCTTCAGTTTATTCCAGGAGTTTTTGAATGTTCTCACATCTCATTTTCCATAGAATGGTAATTTTTAACCGCAGACTGAAACTCGGGAAAAAAATGTATGTACTATAAAAGTAGTCATATGAGTTGTCTACTTACTTTAAAAAAGTCCACATTTTTAAATGGTTCTTTTACAGTCTCAGATTGCAATCTATTCTTGAGACTGGTGTGGTTACACACATGAGAGAACCTATAGCTTGGTGCATAAGTGGTATGGATTACTTTTAACCTTTTAGGCCCCGTTTCCACCTGGTATTAAAATGTGTTTTTGGTGATCCAATCACAAGTGGCCTCCTTTTGATTCTGCATCCTTCTGAGGCTTCTAGGCTAGAGTCTTCCTCAGCATTAAATGCTAAAATGAAATAATCTATTAAGTCTATATGGCCTTTTATTAAGTTAAAAGGCTTTATTTTCCGACTTCTTTTCAATACATACAGTGAATGACAACCTGTGGTCTCCCAGTGGTTTACATCATGGGCAGTTTAGCGTTATGTGATTAATTTACTACAAAACATAATGCCTTCATATCCAAAAAGATGTTTGTTTTGCATTTCATAATGAAATTGGATGAGCCCCATGCAGATTCATTTTCAGCTAGTTTTCTTTCATTAATTGGAATGTGTGCAAAGGATTGTGGGTGATTGGAAGTCGCAAAGGATACACTTGATGCATTCTTCAAAATGCACTGAATGAAGGACATGGAACGAAGGCTGTCTTCTAAGTAGCCTTCAAATTGAGACAGCCTTCAGTGGTGCTTGATGACATGGCAGCCGAAGTATGCCACCTTAAAGTCTGTAGTGCATGTAGGTCACACTTTCTGTAGTTACTCAAATTGCAGAATTTTGCACTTTAATAATCTACAAGACCATATTTACATTTCTGCCTTGATACAAGACCAACGTGTTCTTACCAGGACATACAAGTCGGTAAGGATGTTACCTGCAAAAGATGTTAGTATTGAGAAGGTAGCATATGCCCTCCCTCTGAATAACACATATGCCAGGCGTCATAAACATAGATAACTTCTTCACGTGGGGAAAAAGAGAATCCACCCTCCAATATTACTACAGATCTGGGTGAGATTAGGAAGGGTTGATGTAGATCTGTTCACATCGTGAGAAATCGTGCAGTGTCTGCCGTTTAACTCACTGAGGGAACATGATGTGCCATTAGTCACTGACACATGTGATCTGCTTGTTCTTTCAGTTATTGTGTCTAAGTATACAGTATGTGGCAGCTATCTGTATGCCGTGTGGAAATTGGTAAGTGCAGGGTACACCTGGCTGTTAGGAATTCACAAGGGGGGCTCATAGCATATGCCCTGTCTTTAAGCCTGTGAATCAGACATGGGATTTATATAATTGTCACCCTGCTGTGTATTAACAGTTGGCAGTATAAAAAAAGATTTGGTTGTTTATCTTCACAGGTTTGGTCCTGTGGTCCACCATGCCACATAGAAAATCATACAACACAATCTTCAGTGAAGTCAATCCCACAGCAAATCACAAAACATGCTAGAAGTATCCCCATAAAAGGGGCCACAGTGGTTCAAGCCAGCAAGAATCAAGTCTGATGTAATAACACATTCTACATGACACTGAAATTAAGATGGAGTCAAAGAGAGTGAAGATGTCAGTGAGGCTGAATCATGCAAGATGAATGATGAAGAGGCTGAAGAACAAAGAGGTACTGTCTATTTATGATTGTTCAGTAATCACTTTCAGGCAGTTTATCAGACTTGTCCTTTAAATGTCCTTTAATTTAAAGTTTGTTCCTCTTGAATTTACTTTGGATGTGTTACTATGTTTATTTTAGAACTGATGGAATTGAACAAGGAATGTCAAGCACAGAATGAAAAGGAGGAGAATCAGGAAGCTCCCAATTCCATAACTGGAGAAAACTCTTTTAGTGGTTCACAAATTGAAGAGGGGTTCTCTCAAGAAAGCACAGAAGCAAAAAATGCTTTTGCATGCCACCGTTGTGGAAAGACTTTTTCACAAAAAGGACACCTGAAGTATCACATAAGAATTCATACTGGTGAAAGACCTTACAAGTGCCCTCAGTGTGAGAAGTCTTTCACACAAAAAGGCCACCTTAGGGATCATTTAATAACTCACACAGGTGAGAGGCCATTCACATGCCCTCAGTGTGGAAAGGGCTTCATGAGTAAAGAAAACCTTAATATTCACATTAAAATTCACACCCAAGAGAGGCCTTTCACTTGCCTGGAGTGTGGAAAAACTTACACATGTAAAGGACACCTTAAGGAACACTTAGGAGCTCACACTGGTGAAAAGCCTTTCACATGCCCACAATGTGAAAAGAGTTTCACACGGAAAGGAAACCTTAATATTCACATGAAAACTCACACCAGAGAGAGGCCTTACACCTGCCCTCAGTGTGGGAAGAGTTACACATCTAAAGGACACCTTAAAGAACACATAGGAACTCACAGTGGTGAGAGGCCTTTTGCATGTCCTCGATGTGCAAAGTGTTTTACACGCAAAGGAAGTCTTAATATTCACATAAAAGGCCACACTAGAGAGAGTCCTTACACATGCTCTCAGTGTGGAAAGTGTTTCCCAACTAAAGCACATCTTGATAGTCACATAAGAATTCACACTGGAGAGAAGCCGTTCACATGCCCTCAATGTGGGAAGAGGTTTACTCAACGAGGACATCTGAAGCATCACATAAGAATTCACACAGGTGAGAGGCCTTTTTCATGCCATTTGTGTGGTAAAGGTTTCACGCAGGCACAAAGCCTCAAATTTCATCTGCAGTTTCACTCTGGAGAAAGGCCATTTGGCTGTGATAAGTGTGGTCAAAAATTTGTTTTGGAGTCACTGCTGAAAAGACACCTGAGGACGCATTTAAACGAGCAGCCTTATTTGTGCTCTGTTTGTGGGAAGAGTTTTCTGTTCCTTGACTATTTTAAACAGCACCAGAAAATACATAGCGGTGTGAAGTCTCATGTGTGCTCTGAGTGTGGAAATTCCTTCATGAGAGCCAGAGACTTGGAGTGGCATGAAATAATCCATACTGGAGAAAAACCTTTCAAGTGCTCACATTGTGGAAAGGGTTTCACTGAGTCTGGGAACCTGGTAAAACATGAAAGAGTGCACACTGGAGAAAAGCTGTACCACTGCCTTTCATGTGGGAAGAGTTTTAGACAATCACGTAGTCTACTGGCTCATGTAGAAAAGCACTGTCCACAAGTGGTTACAGTGTCCAACCTTCTGGCTTCAGTTCCAAGCAATTTGTGTGAAATTCAGATCAACCCGATGATGGAATCTGTCCAACAGAAGTAGGAATAAGGCCTGTTCGCACCAAGACAGCTGTTCGGTGCAATAAACATTTCAGTTTGAATGCACTTAATGCATCTGTTTAGACCAACATGAACATTAGCATGCAGTCCATGCAACAATTTTCAAGGACAGGTGTTGTAGTCTGTTTTCCATTGCACTGAAGAAAACCAGCCACCCATTAAGAACTGCACTTTTGGTCACATGCCCAGAGCCACTGCTGTTACATAAAACTACTAATTGGTAATTTTGCGAAATGATGGTAAATAGCAGAGAAAGAATCTGGAACTAGCTCTCTTGTCTCTGTACACTTTTATTTGGTTTTGTTTGATAAAACTATAGTGCATACAAAAGACTGAACTAATGTTTCAAAACTGTATATGTGATACACCATTGTGTATTCACAATTGCAATGTTTGTTTTGTTATTAATATTTATTTATGATGTGAAGAAGAGTTTATTGTGCATACAGTTATCTATCAATTATCACCACTAAAGACTGAGTTTGAATCAATACAGCTCTGGCCACCAGAGAAAGCAGCGCTGTGGGTTACCATGGTGATGCGCATTGTGTTTACCTCAGACGCTACCAAGCTGCGCCTGTGGAAAGACACTGAAGTTTGCGTGTGCTTTTGTTTCTCCTGATAATTCAGATACTTTTAATCTGCCTACGTGTTCCGCGACCGGGACCCGTAACAGATTCATGGAGGTTCCACCGAGATCTACATCCAGAGTGTGAGGCTAGTGCTGGGATTTAGGCCTCACGGCGACGAGACGACGACAAGGAGGGTTGCGTGCGACTTGTGACAGCTGCTAACGTCCAGAGAGCCAAAAGGGACGGAGCTGAGTGGAAGGCGGCGCATCGCTACAGAGTCGAGAGAGGGTCTGAAGCTGGACAAGATGGCAGACAAGAGGAAAAGACTCATCTGGAACATAAAGAAGAGCCTACACATGTTGACTGTGCACGAACTGGGGCATATCGCTGACAGCATCACTCCAGTTGCAGGTTTGATTCCAACCACTCCAAGGATGATGAGGAAAGCTGTTTGAATTTCATCATTTCTTATATGCAGAGTGACAGTTTACTTAAACTGGAAGATGAAGGATTCGCACAATTACTAACATTAAGAGACGTGATTAATGAATTGATTGAGAGTCGTGTAAACAATACTGGGTTACACTTTATTTCGATAGTCCACTTTAGACATTCTATTAACTATAAGTAACTTTGTAACTACATGTCAACTAATTCTCATTAATTTGCAACTACATGTCTACTAACTCTCAGAGTAGACTGTTAGGGTAGGTTTAGGGTTAGTAGAATAAGTTGACAAAGAAAGTCGGGCATACCCTGTACACAGACACACAGATTCCACTGCCACACTCACACACACAGTTAAATGAGTATCAGAAACTGATTGCTAGTTATGAAGAGTTAGGGAAAAAGCTGTCCGAGTACAAGATCACACAGGCAGATGATAAAACGATACCAACTTCAAGACAGTTTTCTTACCCTGATTACTTACCACGACAGCAGAGAGAAAGCATAATGTGTCCAATAGACTTTCCATACCTACTGCATAAAGAGTTCAAGATACATGGTGGTCAGATAGGTGATAGTGCTTCAGACATCGGCTACAATAACCTATGTAAACAAATTGATGAAGGCATCAAGATGGATTACTCAGAGAGTGAAATCATTCAGGCTGTCCTGCGGATAGTGAAACCAGGACAGTTCAAGGAAATGCTCATCAATAAAGATGATCTGACTGTGCCAGAGTTGAAAAGTTTCCTACAGTCGCATTTAAGTGAGAGAGGCAGTAGTGAGCTTTTCCAGGAATTAATGAGTACAAGACAACGGGAACATGAAACTCCACAACAGTTTCTATATCGTGTAATCGGACTGAAACAAAGTAATTTTCACTTCCAAGCAGAGCAACACTAACATTGAATATGAGCCACGAACAGTTCAGAATGTGTTTCTGCGTACCATTCACCAAGGTTTCCTTCCGAAGTACAGCGACATCTGAAGTGAACTGAAACCTTTGCTTACAGATCACACAGTAACTGATGAAGCACTGCTGAAACAAGTAACAAAGATCTCAAGTGAGGAAAGTAAACGCCAATGAAGATTAGGCCAAGCCATACAGCGAAGACAGACTCAAGCTCATAGTGCACAAATTGACTCAGGGTTCGACGAGAGTGAATCAAAATCCAAAATGCAGAAAAAGAGCAAGACAAAGACCATACAAGAACTAAGCGCTCAAGTAGAAGCTTTAAAAAGTACAATTGACACTTTAAAGCAAGCTAAAGAGCCATGTCACTGCTCTGCACAGATGGGAGCTGGTTCACATGTTGTACGTAGACCAACGCCAGTGAGAAGAGGAGGACCATACGGGTGTCCAAGGTGTATAGAGGAGAATAACAGCTCATGCAACCATTGCTTTATCTGTGGAGAAGAAGGACACAGGGCCATTGGATGTGGTAAAAGAACAAGAGGTATAAAGAATACTCACCAAACTGCTGAGCTGAGATTGTCAACTGGAGGAAGGTCTCCAGAGAACAGAGCGCATGAAGCCAATGCAAACAGTGCAGCCTGCTCTTCCGTGTCTAGAAAGACAAACTCAACTCAGAACAGAGTAGCAGAGGTAATTGGAAGCAAATGTTTGTTAAAGTGTAACATCAATGGTTATGCTGTAACTGCCCTACTTGATACAGGTGCTCAGGTCAGTATTATTGATCAAGCCTGGAAAATAACATATTTACCTGATAAGCACTTACGACCTCTGAGTGAACTGATGGGGTCCAAACCTCTTCATGTCTTGGCCATTAATGGAGATGCCTTACCGTTCGATGGGTGGGTTGAGGCGACAGTGAATCTCCCTGGCAACAGTGATCCACAACTAGCCATTCAAGTTCCTTTCCTGGTGGGTAAAATGGCCCTTGAGCGACCCCTCCTGGGATTTAACATCATTGAACAGTTGGTCAAAGGACAGACTAGTGGTGCAAATGTTCTTGCAGCAATCACTACGTTGTTAATGGGAGCCATGGAAATTGGAGATGATCAGGCTGAAGTGATAGCAAACTTTATACAGACACAAAAGCCATCACATCCAGAGTGTGAGGCTAGTGCTGGGATTTAGGCCTCACGGCGACGAGACGACGACAAGGAGGGTTGCGTGCGACTTGTGACAGCTGCTAACGTCCAGAGAGCCAAAAGGGACGGAGCTGAGTGGAAGGCGGCGCATCGCTACAGAGTCGAGAGAGGGTCTGAAGCTGGACAAGATGGCAGACAAGAGGAAAAGACTCATCTGGAACATAAAGAAGAGCCTACACATGTTGACTGTGCACGAACTGGGGCATATCGCTGACAGCATCACTCCAGTTGCAGGTTTGATTCCAACCACTCCAAGGATGTTGGAAGCAAATGTTTGTTAAAGTGTAACATCAATGGTTATGCTGTAACTGCCCTACTTGATACAGGTGCTCAGGTCAGTATTATTGATCAAGCCTGGAAAATAACATATTTACCTGATAAGCACTTACGACCTCTGAGTGAACTGATGGGGTCCAAACCTCTTCATGTCTTGGCCATTAATGGAGATGCCTTACCGTTCGATGGGTGGGTTGAGGCGACAGTGAATCTCCCTGGCAACAGTGATCCACAACTAGCCATTCAAGTTCCTTTCCTGGTGGGTAAAATGGCCCTTGAGCGACCCCTCCTGGGATTTAACATCATTGAACAGTTGGTCAAAGGACAGAAGTGTTCTTGCAACAATCACTACGCTGCTAATGGGAGCCATGGAAATTGGAGATGATCAGGCTGAAGTGATAGCAAACTTTATACAGACACAAAAGCCATCCTGTGACACTGAGACCATTGTCAAAGTTGGACGTCAGGATGTTGTTATTCCTTCGGGTCAACTGGCACACATCAAATGTTCAATACCTGTAGATTTTTCGACTTGTCAGAGCCTGCCATCTTGTTCGAGTCTAATGTAGATAACCCACAGCTTGAACGACTTGACCTTGGAGATGGACTGCTGGAAGTCTGTGGGAGACAAAGGCCGTTCATTAGCATTCCAATAGGAAACCATACGAGCCATGACATTACCTTACCACGACGAACGACAATCGGGAGTATACAGTCCATTAAGAGAATTGTGGAGACCGACCAAATAACAGAATCCATTCTTGTGGAAGTTAACAATGCAGAGAGACAAGAAGGAGCCGACAGCAGCAGAATTACAGTGACTTGACTGAGGAGCAACAAAGGACAGCAACGAGAATGTTGTACGAAGAGTCTAGGGCATTTGCACGCAATGACGAAGACGTGTGTAACCCAGGTCACTAAAAAGTTAAAATAGAAGCTTGAAAAAAATGTTATGCTTCATATGTAGAATAGAAAGAATATCCTCAACTCTACTCAAAATGTTATACCAATAATAAGAGAGATTGATAAAAAATAATTTTATTTTATCCAAATTGAAACTAGTCAGAGTAATCTGAGATCGCTGATTGGATGAAGCTAGAGGTTAGTCCCGCCCCTAGAGGTCGTTAGAGAGAAGATGTGAGAGAAATCAAACGAGTGCGTTTGCTTTACAGAGCTCAGATAATAAGAGATAAACATATAAATTGAGTGTGAAACTTTTGAAATTGGATTGTATTGAACACAAGATTTTAGTGTTGATACTTTTAAGTAGAAGAAAAGGAAGATTTGCGCAAAGAGAAGTGGAATCAACGTGTTTAATAGAATCGCTTAATTTTTTCCCCTTTTCTTTGTATGGATTATTTTTTCCTTGGCCGGGTTTTTTTCTTCTTCTCTCTTCCCTTTTCTTTCTGTGCATATGTGTGTAAGTGTTTCTTCTGCTGTCGATCCCGAGCTCCAGTGGTTGAGATTGTCGTCGAAGAATTGTCCTTGCCTGTTGCTGTGTGCACGTTGCTTGGACTGGCGAGCCATTCCCATCTGATTCGTACCTGGTGACATTATTTCAAGAGTGTGAAATATTGATTGGTAGGACAAACCATTTTTTTCCCTTAATCACTTTCGGTTTTTTTTTTCTTCTTTTTTTTTCTTCTTACTGGACTGAACAAATTTTTTTCCCCCTTCTTTATGGACCCGCTGGATTGAGAAACTGATTTTTCATGGACTAAAGGCACTATTAAATTTTTTTTCACGTGACCCCTCTTCATTATTTTTTTTACTTTTCCT